ATTCCCTCTCTCTCATAGACAAATAAACTGCAGTCTACTCTGGACGTTCCGGATTGTTCGCGGCCAGGGTTGCTCATTAAGAGCAGAGGACTTCTTTGAGTTCACCCGTACAGACCAACTACGCGGCCATGCATACAAAGTCGGGAATCAGCGCACGCGTTTAGATCGACGAAAATGTTCATTCAGCCAGCGGGTTGTCAGGCCGTGGAACTCGCTTCCAAACGAGATGGTGACGGCTGACACAGTCTGTGTGTTTAAAAGAAAACTTGCTCGTCTAGTTTTCGACAGAAATCGGCTTCAACAGCATGACTATGCACAGCCAGTTTTGTAAAATCTGTCATATACAATCTTCCGCACTAATTTACAGTGACCCTATGCACTACCTTATGATTACGATTGAACTGAGACCCAATCACAGTTTAAATTCCTGCAATTTTATTTTATTTTTTAGTATGAATCTGCGAAAGCACTGTACATAAATGGGGTCATCTAGGGCTCTGCCTGTAACCCTTAAATATATACATATACCTATACATATAAGTTACTTTGCGGTATATTGATGAGTCCTCTGGTATAATAAACAAACTTTATGTCGTAGGTTTTCGAGTCTGGTTGCCCAGTTAGTCGTCAGACGTGTAGCAAGTGTGGAAAATCGGATAAAATTTAAACATAACCAAAAAGTCGATATTGCATTTTCAGGGCTGAGGATGGGTCAACGCTGTGGCCTGGCGTCACGTCTTGATTACCGATGCATGAAACAGCGGGAATCGGAGGAAAGGCTTAAGGAACTAGTTCGTTCCGATCAGGCGCCAAAATCAAAACCAAAAAACTTGCGAACGCTTCCTTAAATTGAAAATTGTCTGAACTCGTTGAAAGACACCTGAGGAAGCATCAAATACAAGTGGCACACAAACCGACGACTACGCCACGCAATCAGCTTGTACACCCTAAGGATTGGCTATTAGGATAAAAAAAAGAAGTAGTCTATGATATGCCACGTGCCACTTAGAGTGCGGTATATTGTACTCAAACCGGGAAATCCGCCTTCACACGCCTACATGAACGCCAATTGACATTAAAGAGACGGGACCACTTATCCCCACTCGCCATGCGTACTCTAGAAACTGAGCACAAATTTGCTTGGGACAAAACACGCATTGCGGTTTCTCTCCCTATAAGAAAGGCCGAGAATTTCTAGAGGCCATTCACTCAGATAACTCTTGCATTATTCGGCGCATCGATCTGGACGCAGTGAATACAACTTTTGAAGAAAAGTGGAACAGGTGATAGCTAATCAAAACGTGACGTCAGCCCACAGCACTGACCTAACCTCAGCACCGACAAAGCCATACCTATTTTCCGGACACGTTTAACTAAAACTGTTCTTCACACTTTCTGCACGTCTGACGACGACCTAGGGAATCAACGTTGAAAATTTACGAAATATATACATATATATATGTGGAAGAGGACGATGAAGCGATCTCCGGGAAAGGTTTATTCATCTGACGTTTCGTGTTGATGCTCGAGCACATCATCAGAGATGGATTAAGTGAGAAATACAGGGTATAAATAGGCCATCTGCTCTCGCATCCGATAGGTTCGTCCCGTTCTCTTCTGATTGGCCCTCCTCTCGCGCGTAAATGGTGCCTGACGGCCTCCTATGGCGCTGGAAAATCGATACTGCGGTTGATCGAGTTGATGTCTGAGTTGCAGGTCTCGATTACGTTCTTCGCCAGTTTGTTTTCGGCTCAGCCGAGCATTTGGGCGCCGTCAAAGTCGAGCTTGTGATCATCGTACGTCCTTTCGCCGTACGGCCAAAGTGTACTCATGCATGCGCGATATTAGGCGTTTATCGGTCATGCCACAGTAGTTGGCTAGACAGTCCAGACGCGGTAAATGATGCCTGACATGTCAGCAGGTGGTAGCCGGTCCCTGGGCTGCATGATTAAGCGGCGGATGGTGGCCTCCGGTCGGTATCCAACGCCCACGCCTAGCGGCCTTCGCATGCGCTCAGTGGCTTCGGAGACGTTACTCACGTAAGGCAAGACACGGAAGATTTCTGGTCTTTGTTACATCTCGCCGTCCGTCTTCGTGTGCCTTCGGTACAAGCATTTGTTCACGAAACTGCGTGCATATACATTGGGAAGGAAGAGGCGCCGTAGGGTTTTATGCTCCCGCAGCTTCTCGGCTTCTGTGCTGCAGTGTGTGTGTGTGTGGATGCGGCGAAAAAATGTCCGGACACAACTGCGTTTATGCGACAGGGGTTGATTGCTGTTGAAGTAAAGAATTTTTGCCGCGTCTGTAGCCTTTCGAAAGACACCAGTCTGGAGGGTTCCGCCTTCCTACCTCGATACCTGGACGTCGACGACAGGGAGCACTCCGTTATTTTCTTCCTCCATGGTAAATTGGATTTGTGGAAAAGCCGAGTCCAATTCTCTTTTAAAGTTGTCTTTCGCGTCTCGGTGTAAGATGACAAAGGTGTCGTCTACGTAGCGCATCCAGAAATCGGCTTGCAGGTCTGGAAGACCCGAGTTTTCAGTTCCTGCAAGACCACCTCAGCCAGGTGGCCGGAGGGGAGGTGAGCCGTGGGGGAACACGAAAACGGAACTCTCCGTAATACTGGCACTCAAACACACCCTGCATACCCAACAACGTTCCCATATCTAATACTAACAACTCGCCGGCAAAAACACGACTAACAGTCTCTGTAACTCAAACGCTCCTGCAGTCCCGAACTCACCGCCACCACACCCGTACGTCATACATCGGCCTGATCGGTCACTTGCGAATCCACCGCACAGAGACGTGCGAATTGGTGCCTGAAGCGCCAACCTAGACCAGACGTCATTGCCCCAAATACTCGCACTGCCTTAGCACATTTTGCTATCGCATTGGTCTATTCGGCCACATATGCAGTTATAAGGGCCTGGAGCAAATCATAGCAGACATTCCCACATAATCACGAATCGATGCACAAACACATACAACATACTTCCAGTACTCTACGTCGCCAGAATTTCCCAAATGAGTAGGCAATGTGCTTTTAGACTCTCTTCGCTGTGTAACTCCTCTGCCGCATGTGAAATTGGCGCGTTCTCTCCGCATTGTGTGTGAAATCCTGGTGCTCGCTTAAGGGGCTAGGTCCGGCATTTGGCGCTCGCAGACGACTCTCTAGCTCTGTCAGACATCGGACCCGCTCGGACAGCCTATCGATGCTCGGGATTGGAAAGAGGGAAGGATGTCGAGCCTCTCAGCGCATATTCCTCATTATAAACAAACTGGCGCGCCTGATGTCACCACGGTGGTCTAAAAGCCGTGGCCTGCAAGACTGCCAACTAGTGGAATAACTCGGACCTCACAGTCAGCCCATTGTGTGTCTCTGTGAAGTGGCGGACTGGTGGACTGAAAGTCAGGCCTCTATGTCTCCTTCTTAATGTGGCCCCTAGGGCACTCCCAACTATTGGGATCCGAGTCACCTAGCCTTTTTGTTGTGTAAAATCCCAGTCAGTTCACGTTGTGGGCCAGGGATGTGATGGTACGCCTGGGTGCGGGCGTTGGCCGTGCCAGATTCCTGCACACTTTCTCGTCGCCGTCCTTCCTGACTCTGTTAAGACATCGAAAACAGGCAATGGGGGAAGGGTGAAGAAGAAGATAGTGGGCCAGACGCTGCGCGAGTCTAGTGTTATTGTAAAGGCCTTCATCCGTAAGTTACTGTCTCCGATCCAGCCCTGCTGTGCAGCATACGATGAACATCATTGGAATAAACGGTTGCGATGTGATGTGTGAGCAAGGCGTTGATTTTGTATAACAGTGCTTTCCTTTTCTGAGCTTTGTTTTTCAAATAAATATGCATCCAGTCCGTGTCTGAATGTTCTTTTTGTGCTAATCATCAATGTGTTCTCAGGTAGTCTGTTCCAGACACCAGCAGCTCGCTGTGTAACGGCGTACCGACGAACATCCCGTTGTTATACGGTTTATTGACGCTTGAGAAACTTCCCACTAAGTTTGGCTGTCTTACGCAGTACGAAGAAGTCAGTGAAATGTAGGGCACAGTGTCGCTTCTCACAAAACGAAACAAGACGAAACATGCCAGACTCGGTTTGCGGGCCAAATTCTTCTCTCACCGGCTGGTTGAGGGATGGAACAAATTGCCGAACTCCGTTGTCTTAGCGGAAAACATCGAGACTTTCAAAAGAAGCCTAGGTAAACTTATGCTTGATGGTCAAACATTACATGATATCAATGACTGGCATAACTGCTATTTAAATATCTGCATGTTTTTTTCCATACGTCTATCTGTAAATAGGGTTTTCCAAGGCTCTGCCTCTATCCCTCATATATACTGAATTATACTGAAATCCGGCAGGTTTGTATGAGATCTCTCCCTAATCTGGGGGAATAGTATAAGCGCACGAGGTCTGCACTTCAAGGATGTACATGATGTTACGGTGACGTTTCTTTACTTTTACACTGTCCAAATCCAGGTACACAAAACCAATGGCGTAAGGAATAGGATTCTGATAACGAATGACATCGAATTACCTTTTTATTAACATACCCGTCCGTCTGCATAGATCCATCCGCGCACTAATCTACATGTACTTATAAGTGCTACTAACACATGCAACAGGTGGTGTTTATGCAAGGTTTTAACGGTTCTCCGTACGTCCTTAATGTTGTTTTTTCCCAAGCTAGTTGGTCAGAAGTACGAACCTAGAATTATCCCAAATGACGGAACAGAACTGAACTTCTAGTTTTCAGTCTAAATGTCAACGCTTTGCACGTGTCACCGTCTAATTTTGTCTCTTGCGGCAAAGTTTTACATAAGCATATAAACAGGACGTCTGATTAATCTTACGCCGACTTCCTGAATTAGTCGGGATCTGATTCCGGTCAGTATCTCATTCGAAGCAGTTTTGTTTAGCCAGCCCGAGACAGCGGCCGCAGTTTTTTGAAAATCTTGGACGTGAGTGTGCATTTCTTGCGGCTGGCTTGGGATGACTACTGCTGCCAAAAATACAAGGAAGGGCAAGAAGGTGCAGCCACCTCAAGATCAAGCACCGGCGGAAAAGAAGGCGGTTACCTCGGAATCTGACTCAGACTCTGATGATTCCGTACCCGAGCTTACCGACGAGAAAAAGGCGGGCGATGCCATGACGGCGGATGATGACCTTATGGGCTTGAATAAGCAGTCTCGTAGCGAGAAGAAGGCTAGAAAAGCTATGACAAAATTGGGCTTGAAGCCAATTCCAGGAATCTGCCGAGTCACAATACGAAAGGCCAAGACTATAATGTTCGTAATTAACAATGTTGATGTTTTCAAAGCTCCAAACTCCGATACCTACGTCATTTTTGGCGAGGCTAAAGTCGAAGACATGTCTGCTCAAGCACAAATTGCTGCCGCGGAGAAACTGCGATCTCAGGCTCTCTCAGGCGCGACACCAGCCGCTCATGCGGAGGCCGCGGAGACCACCTCGAAGGCGGCTATCGCAGAGGAGTCAGAAGACGAGGAAGTTTGTTGTCTGTTCGTACCTTAACCTGCTCTCCAAGGTTGACGCTTCCGATCTCGACGCCAAAGACATCGAGCTTATAATGCAGCAGACGAATGTTTCCCGCTCAAAGGCTATAAAGGCCCTCCGGGACAATGGGATGGACGTTGTTAATGCTATCATGGTAGGCTTCCTTATTTTCCACGAAACTCTTTTTAGAATCTGTCTGGCTAATTGGATTGTCCCGGATATCGCTATTGAAGATGAACCACTGATATGGATCCTTGTCTAGTTTGTATGTTTCACTGCGGATTATATACGACCTGTTCATGGACGCCTGGGCGGCCACACATTTTCCTCTCATGCTTAAGTCATTTCTTCGCTTGTTCTGTGGGCCTGAGCGGATGGGTGCACAACCAAGTCCTGTTATCACGTTTATCCATGCCGCTTAGCAGTATAATGTTGTACGTGGATTGCCGTTTCCAGTCCACTATCCCGGAATGCAAACTTCGTGTTGAAGATCAAGGCCTGAGTTTGTTTTTTTGCCTCCTGCTGGTAAACATCCTTAAGCGTATCATAATGCCTCCGTTCACGTTTGCACTAGTACATTGACGCGCGTTGGGCCTTGTCCCGATGTGAGTTCTTCCGATCCAGTGGCGTCGTTCGCCCCACTCTCACTGTGCGCACTTACCACCTAACGTCGAAGCGTTATCATTTGAGGGCAACCCATATGAAGACTTCGGTAGGCTAGACAGCATCTCCAGTGCCATTTCTGTCGGCACTTTGGCTGCAGTCTGTAACTATGTGAATGTCTACGAGACCCCTAGATTGCATTTTCGGGAAAAGGAGACTCGTGCTTTGTCTTGTAGACATGTCATTGAACTGTCATTCCCATGTTGTGGAGATCTTGGCGTTTATTTGAGCTTTGCTAAGTAGCTGCTGCCTGACATCGTTATTACGCAGCATTGTCGAGTCTCCGTCGGCGAAGTACTTCAGGTACAGAACTTGAAGACGCGCTTTCCACAAACTTCGTGCAAGATAATTTTTTGCTTGCATTATCACATCCGCGATTTCAAATGCAGCCTGCCTGAAGTATGCTTAATAAAAAGCCAACACTGCTACTGTTCATTGATAAGCCAAACAGTTTCGGCTCCACGAATATTCTGTACTTCGTTTAAAAGCGTATCGGAAGATTTTGGTCAATGTTTTCTGAGTTTCGGTGCGTACTTAAGATTACGACCACGTCTCACCTTGTCTATCGCCGGGGATGTTCGAATGGCTGTAATTTCAAAGCATGTCATGCTGGCCAACTTTTCGTCAATGACGTGGCATCCTCAAATGGCGGATTCTCAGATTGCCACACTCTGTCTAACCTTGTCTTTCCATCTGTTTTCTGCTACGCTAGAACATGCCATAATCTATTCACAGTGTCAACATGCTTAGCACTACGGGCGGATCGAGGACTTCCTTGTCCGAATAGTAGATCAGGCGGCAAGGTGCAGCGCGCCTTGTCTGGTCTTCCGTGTTTTCATACTTTGGCCTATCGACTGTTTTTGAATGTTAAACCGCACTCATTGTCGTGGGATAGCCGGTTGGGCTGGCGCACATTGACCAGCAATTTTGACGTCAATCGTTTGACTGAGCGGTAATTGTTCCAACGCTGGATGAGTGCCTCTTGTACACTGGACTCATTGTCGTGTGTATGGGAAGTAAGCTTGTGGATTGGTGTACTGTGCCCATGAACCAGGCCTCACGCACAGAAAATTCGACCCGCAGTCGCCCGGGAGGAAATCATCTAACCGTCTGAATTGAGGGTGCACCCCTTCTATTCCTTTCGCTACTAACCTGTTTTCTTCGCCTACTTTATTTCCACGCCGACATCCCAGGTGACTGGCGTAGTTGCTTCTAAACCCATCTGCATCGAAAGATTTCACGAAGTTGGCTAGACAACTTCAAATCACGTCCAGGACACCAACAAATTGGTCCTCGAGGCCGAGAACTTCGACTTAGATCCGCATTTGCGATAACCAAACCTCATAATTATAAACCAACACCGCCTACGTTGGTGTTGCGCGGTACCACAACTGACTGATTCAGTACCTGCCCGATATGGATTTCTAGTGTGTTGGCAGTGTGCGAGGCTGGACCTTTGGTGCAGTGAAGATAACATTAGAACCTTTGAGACGGAACCAGTTAACTCTGTATGATGCAGATTTTTAGCGTGGCGTCCGGACGTGCGATCTTCTAGAAGAGTTGGTGTAATGAATGCTAGGTTAGATAAATTACACACGGTCCGCGTGGGTGTTTGCTTTATCAGACGCATACATAATGGTGAGGGCCAAAAAGGACTACATAGTCAGGCCTGCAGGACTTCGGGAACCGGGTCGACAGTGCGGACGTCGAACTCGCACGTAGTCGAAACTTGAGATTCAATATTCTCTTGAACCGATTTGCAGTATACCATTCTTACATGTAAGAAGCGTAGTTTTGTTCAGCGTGTCGAAATTATTGCCCCAATATGAACCTTGGTGTTGCGCCCGTGTGCGGATGAGCATAGAAGACACAAGGAGACCCTTGTAGAGTTTTAGCGGCCGACAATAACGCGCTTAGTGCACGAATGGGTTGTGGTACTTTTGGAGCTGGTGGGGCCAAGGTGTCATGGACGAACTGAGCCTTGCTTGACCAGTTAACGCGAAAAACCTGCAGCGGTACTCGACCCAAATGTCCAAGCGGAGGCACCATGTTTCACTGAATACTTGCTTCGTAGAGGGGCTTACAGGTGTTCGGCCCACGCCAAAGGCCTTGTGTGGGCTCGCGGATTTTCCTCCGGCGATTATCCTCTTCCTCGTGTTTGATGGACGTTTCGTTTCTTTAACAGTGTGGGAGGCTGTTCAGTTTGCTTTTTTACAGTGGCAGGCAAATATTTATCGCATCCTCGTAAACGGCTGCGTTCACAAGAGATAGTCATCGATGAGCGATACCTACTTTACGCTCCCGACTTAATCAAGAGGAAAATAAGCTCGACCTCTGTTGTCAATCAGTACAGAGTGCGACCTCTGTGCCTGCCTATGCGCATGCAGGTAACTGTTAGCCGCGGTTCGGAGGTTGGCTAACATGCAAATTGACTCAGTCATCTTGTGTCGCAGTAGTGAACCTTAGGAATCTCTGTGGCTTCCAGATATTACTACTGCAAATCGCCTGGTGAGCCAAGCTTATCATATAGTTGGGTTGTCCGGCACTGGCTGTGATTAGAAATTAAAAAAACTTGGGTCACCTTTAGTAGACCACTCGGTCTCGTAATAATGTTTGGATTTGTTCACAACCCAACCCATATTAACCGTTAGTTCTGGCCAGGCAGAGAAAGACAAGCAAGCTTATATACCGAAGTTGTATATCGCGTATACCGACCGAAGTAAAACTGGCCGATGATGGACAGCGAATACGATAGCCACCAGGCGCTAATCTCATGGGTCAGGGGGACTTTAGTAGAACAAGATTGGGTAACTTCTCCAAGGGAGACCGAAGTGCAGATATAAGCTGAAAATAGAGTACTAGGAAACAGTTGACTGGGACAAACGAACTAGGGGTGCAGCCGCCACGCAACCATAACTCTCGTTACTAGTAAATGCCGCATTCATTGCCAATGGTTGTACGCATGAGGACTTGCCCGCCCACGCCGGAGTCGTTTGACGCAACTCCATAACCGGCGCGATAGGTACTCGGCAATCGGGCTCGTTGATACTGTCACTGAGGCATTCACTCGCACCCACTTTACGTGACCAATCATTCTGCCCATTTTATATGGAAGTTGGGTACGCGCCTGCTAACAGACTGGGAATCCAAGTACCATGACTAAGGCGGATCTCTGCCCACGCGCTCGTCACCTCGCGTGTATTTGATCCTCGCCGAACTCGATTGTGTGATTTGGTCCGCCCTGGGTAAGGCGAGAGCGGGTATTAGATTTGGGGCTGTGTGCTATGAGGGGAGTTGGGGAGCGAGAGTCTACTGGAGGGTAGGTGGGGTTTGAACATAGCCTGCGTTTTATTATCCCGACAGCAACTGAGATATAACCGTTTGCCATGGTGGGCGGGGGCTTGTCGGAAGTAAGGCGGATGAGGAGGCCTGCCTCAGGAAAATCATACTCAGAAGTGTTGGGAGCGTCCAGCGAAAGCAAGAATGGTCCTTTGGGGGTTGGAATGTGTTCGCGGGCGTGAGTATGGCGTCGACAAAGCTCGGGAGTAGTCGGCGGTAGGAACCACTCATATCCTAGAACTGTTGCGGTTGGTTCTAGGAGTTTCCAGACCAGTGCCGGATGGTGGTAACCTAAGGAGAATGTCCGGGGAAAGAGTGGATACCGGCTGAGTTATCCAGGCTACATAGAAGTCCTAGACAAGATCTACTGATGACGCTTAGAGGGGCTGGTGGTGACGTTCAGTTCCTAGCGCAAATGGGGGTGTCCTTTCTCTCCGTTTGTTGCTAGCATCCGGGAGGCCATTGGTGTCGGCGTAGGCAAATCCAAGTTTTTTATGTGGGTCTACAGATAGCAGGGAGGTCTGGTGGGTGTTGAGGCCGGGGTGCATGCACAATGACTCGGAACTGCAAATGGGGTTAGTAGCGGCTGTCTTTGGAGCCTCGCAAATGTTGGGGACAACGTTGGTTTCCTGGGCGGATTTGTCGAATACTCTCAGCAGTCTTGTCGGTGAGGGGCCGGATAGTTGTCTGAGATCGTGACGCTGATCAGCGCATGGTAGTCGGGACGGACGTCAACGATGGCCTTAGGGACCGTGTGCTGGAACGAAGCCCAGGAGTTTTCTAACAGTTGATTTGATGGTTTCGAAGTTCGGACAGGTAGGTCTGGACACTGGATGGGCCCCAATGACAGCGACCAGGTGAGATAGCTCAGGGGAAGGTGTGCCTTAGGTGGGGAGGTTGGTGGTAATGTGATGGTAGTCAACACAAGGATCCTTTGGGGAAAGAAGGTCAAGGTCTGATATCCAGGGAGGGGGGA